GACACAGACTTCAACGTATAGTTAGAACTGCAGAAAAAACAATTGCTACCAGCCTGCCTTCCATTGAGGACCTGTATACTGCATGAGCCAAAAAGAGGGCTGTGAAAATATCTACAGAGCCCTCGCATCCTGGACATAAACTGTTTCAACTTCTACCCTCAAAACAACGCTATAGGGCAGGAGTGTCAAACTGCCGGCCTGCGGGCCGGATGTGTCATGTTAAAACCGCACCCACCCCCACCCCATTGCCAGCAATGGGAAAAAAGTCGCGATACGTCGCGACACGGGATGTGACGTTGAGAGTTTGACACCCGTGCTATAGGGCATTGCACACCGGAACAACCAGACACCAGGACAGTTCCCCCCCCCATGCCATCAGTCTGCTAAGCAAATAATTCCCACAACACTACCGCTGCAATAGAGATAGTCCTTAACAGTTCATTTAGTGACTGTTTGAAGTTACGACACACTGAAAAAAATGACTTATGACCTTTTTTCACATTTATGACCGTTGCAGCATCCCCATAGTCACATGGTCAAAATTCAGAAACTTGGCAACTGACTCACATTTATGACAATTGCAATGTCCTGGGGTCGCGTGACCCTTTCTGTGACCGTCTGACAAAGTTAGTGGGTAAGACAGATTCACTTAACCGTATTACTAACAACTGCAGTGATTTGCTTAACAACTGTGGCAAAAAGTTTGTAAAATGGGGCAAAACTCACTTAGCAAAACAGTCTTGCTTAGCAATGGAAATTTTGGGCTCAATTGTGGTCATAAGTTGAAGACTACCCTTAATGCAAGGACAACATTTGACGATACAAAATTAGCCTCAAAATATTTCTGTGATATAACAGGAACGAAGAAAAGATGTTTTCTTTGGTAATAAAAAGGGCAGGATTTAAGTTGCCTGCTTCCAGTGTCACTGAGCCTGTCTCCCCTCTGATGGGACGATGATGCATTGTGCAAGAAAACTAAGGAGATTTTTCTCTTCCTCCAAATAGGAACCTTGTTGTGGACTCATCTTTCACAAAGGGGTCCTGACGTCTAAGGATTTTACGAGCTGGAAGGGCTTTTACGCAGGTGGAAGCGTGTGCCTATTATTAAACGCTCTGCTGAGCATCCAACCCATAGGGCACCACTGAAGTTGGAGGAGAAAAGAAGAAAGGATTTTTTTTACCAAACATGTTAAGACACAGTAGAACACAGGCAAACAAGCAAGTTTTCTCTTTTTTAAAAAATAGATTACATTTATTTTGCACTGAAATCCAAGATATATTTTTTTTAAAAAAAGCTTCATTAGTATTAAGATACAGAATTAAAATATATATTTACAAAGGCAGGGCAATGTTTTGAAAGCAATACTGGTGGTATTCCAGGTCACTAAAACAAGGCAGCAGAAACACCTAAGGCAGCAATTGCCTGGACCAGGGGTCTTCAAACTTGGCCTTTTTGTGACTTGTGGACTTCAACTCCCAGAATTCCTCAGCCAGGCACGTTGGCTGAGGAATTCTGGGAGTTGAAATCCACAAGTCATAAAAGGGCCAAGTTTGAAGACCCCTGGCCTAGACATTTTAACTTTCTTCCTTCTGCTATAGGTAAAAGATTCCAGTACCTTTAACAAAAGTAAGCATTTCAACAAAATAGACATTTTGACACAGGGAGGAATCAGATATTTTACTCCTAGAGTGGTGGAACATGTTTATTTTATTTGTTTATTCATCACATCTGTGCAGTTCCCAATAAAAAAATATATGTTCCATTGTAATGTTCCGTACAGGAAGTTGAAGGATTTTTCTGCTAAGCAGTTAAAGTGCAGGACTTCCATTGCCCACAACTTTCCCAAATTGGTGCCCACAGTAGCCTCCTATGGGGTAGAGTTCAAAATTTACACACAGGCATCACAATAAAAGTCCTTTCCTTTTATACATCTACAATAGGGGTGGGCCACTTACTTATTGATGCTGCTCCCCTCCCTATTGATGCTGCTGGATGGCCCCCAGATGTGACTCTATGACATGATGAGGGAGGAGGGAAGCCATAAGCCAATGGCCTATAACTGTATTTCTCAACCGTGGCAACTTGATGTCTGGATTTCAACTCCCAGAATTCCCCAGCCAGCATGCTAGGGAATAACAAGGATAACTGTATCTGAAATCTCCCAACATGGGCAATATTTCCACTAATCAAAAGAATCTTTTAAAAGAAGCATACTGGTGAAAAACTTTGGAAATTCCTTAGGGAAATCTAATACTAAGATTAGCATTTGGACTGAAAGCTTTTTGATTTCTGCTTTTTCTTGTATGATCCAAAGAAGTTTTTACCTCAGAAACAAGGCACCTTTACAACAGTAATTAAGCGGTTTAAACCATCACACACATATATTCATAAATGTGCTTTCTTACTATCATATTGAAGAAATGCATCTATAATCCCCTTATACCATATTCCTCCAAATAAGTGCACTTGGCTGCTAATATTTTTTTAAAAAAATAAGTATTTACATGTTGACAGAGGTTAGAATACTATAATTAAAAATTGTGGCAAGAGGTCAGTAAAAGCTCATTTGAAATAAATAAAATATGCTATTAATTTTAAAAGGAGGAACATTTTGCACATTCTCTTGGTCAAACCAGACCATTAAAGAGCTAAAAGGCAGTCACTTCCCCCATTTTGTTTTTTACTCAGAATATAGCTGTATTCTAGAGATGCTTCTTTTCTAGAACTAGACACATTTGTTTAATCAACTGCTTGCCTGCCACACAACCATCAAATCCAGAGGCTGCCATGAAAATGGCCAATTATAGCTAGACTTCAATCATTATTAAGGATTCTCATTAGAGTAAGTGAGAAAAGTTCATGATCGAAAAGTACCTCCTCAATATTCTAGGGTGAGATCAACCCAGGCATCAGTCATTCCAACTTCCTCCAATAAAATCCTAAACAGCACCTCCATGCTAGTAGAACTTACTAAAATTCCCAACATCTTCATCTACCACTGCCGTTGAAGACAATGAACTTCCAGTCCATAACAATGGAGAACACGAGCTTAGAAAAAAATTCTTTTAGGGGGTTAGAAGAAACTGGGCCTAGTAGATACCAAATTTTTGGGAGGTAGCCCTTCAAGTCCTTTATGTGTAAAAACACAATCAAGATAAGATACGGTGTATTATTCAGTGCTTTGCAAGCAGGGATCTGGCCGTCAGACCCCCCCACAAGTCAGACGCCCCCTCTGCATCCAAAATCGATAACCTCTCTCACTCCTACTCAGTTGCCCTTGTAGTCTGAGGGGCCGTTCTTTGCCAATAAGTCCCCATAAGCTGCCTCTTCCCGGGAGAAGATTTGGAACTTCTTCTCCAGCTGGGCACGGAGGTAGAGATAATCCTGTTCATCCAGGCTGTGAGCACAGGTAAGATAGACGGTGAAGAAGAAGGCCAGAAGCAGGCGGTCAAGAGAGAGGCAGGGAACAGCCCAGAGGATAAGGAGAAACTCCACGTACAATGGGTGGCGAAGGTGGGAGTAGAGACGGAGGGCCCGTGAAGACTTCACAGCCAAAGGGTCTCCTATGCCCAAGCAGTAGTAATAAACCTGGGGATGAAATGAAAGCAACATCTGTTTACTGGATAGAGGCCCTCCCAGATTTTATATACAGCCAAGGCACCCTTGGGCTCTCTGCAGATTCTACAGAGGAACACGTGGCTTCCCATTTGTAACGCAATGCTGAACACAGGTAGTCCTCAACTTATGACCCCAATCGAGCCCAAAATTTATGTGGCTTAGCGAGACAGTGGTTAAGTGAGTTTTCTCCCATTTAACGACCTTTCTTGCCTCGGTTGTTAAGTGAATCACTGCAATTGTTCAGCAACATGGTTGTTAAGTAAATCTGGCTTCCTCATTGACTCTGCTTGTCAGAAGGTCGCAAAAGGGGATGATCACATGACCCCCCCGGGACACACTGCAACCGTCATAAAATATGAGTGAGTTGCCAAGCGTCTGAAGGGAGATGCTGCAAGGGTCATAAGTGTGAAAAAATGTAATAAGTCCACTATCTCAGGGGCTGCCACAAAGAAGAGGGAGTCAAGCTATTCTCCAAAACGCCTGAAGCCAGGACAAGAAGCAACGGATGGAAACTAATCAGGGAGAGAAGCAGCCTAGAACTAAGGAGAAACTTCCTGACAGAACAATTAACCAGTGGAACAACCTGGCTCCAGAAGTGGTGAATGCTCCAACATTGGAAGTTTTTAAGAAGAGACCGGACAGCCATTTGTCTGAAATGGTATAGGGCAGGGGTAGGCAACCTTGGCTCTTTTATGACTCGTGGACTTCAACTCCCAGAATTCCTGAGCCAGCCATGCTGAGGGGAAAGGGAGAGGTTTCCAAGCTGAGCCATGTTGGCTCAGGAATTCTAGGAGTTGAAGTCCACGAGTCATAAAAGAGCCAAGGTTGCCTACCCCTGGTATAGGGTTTCCTGCCTGAGCAGGGGGTTGGACTAGATGACCTCCAAGGTCCCTTCCAACTTTATTATTACTTGTTTCAGTGCTGTCGTAACTTCAATCAGTCATTAAATGAACTGTCGTAAGTTGAGGACTACTTCTACTATTCCCCCCCCCCCCCGGTTTTAGGGCAGGTTCATAGTTGAGCCCCTTCCCTTCCTGTCCTGCAGGATGTATTGTTTGCAGGGAAGGTCCTTGGTGCTCTCTGAGCCTTTTTTTTTTTTTGGCATGTGTTTCATTAGCTAGTTAGGTAACATCTTCAGTGCTAGAAGGAAGCGGGCTCTGCTCTGTTTATACAGGGTGGCTTGCCCTAGCAGTATT